GAAATGGGGATGTGTGCAGGCTGCGTTGGACTTTCCCTCCTTGGAAATAGTGGAAAATAACATAGAAATAGCTCGTGTGGAAGTAGAAGGAGGTGTGCAATCTGGTACCTGTTTCCCATGGCGGCCCCATGAGTGTCAGAAATGCACCTTGGCCCTGTCTGGGACAGTGAAATTGTTGCTTGGGCGCATCAAGTCATTTCCTGCTTCTGAATGTCATTTATCTGCATAACAATGAGCTTACTAAACAGACCCAGAAATTATTGTAAGAGCCTTTTACCCATTTTTTAAACTGATTGAAAACACGCCGTGAATTTGATTTCCCATGTTTAGACAAAACTACATATGAACACTTTTAAAGAACAATAGCAACATAAAAATACATTTAGCTCTGTTCTCAATAAAAGGGACTCCTGGCAGCTGGGCAGGGACCTGTGACTAGTTCTGGCCAATAAAATGTGAGTGGAAAGGCCTGTGTTACTTCTGGGCTGAGAAAGTGAATCCCCACTCACCCCCACTGCCACCCCTACACATGGACCCCCAGCTTCTCTCTTCCTCGACTCTGGCCCTGACCTGGCCCTTGCCAAGATGCTGGGGCCACAGAATTAGCCAGTGGGACTTGCCACTTACACCATGGCTGTGGGTAGCTCACCTAGTGTGCAGTGGATGGAAAATGAATGAAAAAGTTAATTTGTTGTGTTAGTCTCTGAGGTTCAGAGGTGTTTGTCACTGAGCAAAACGTTGCCTACCCTGATTAACATATTCACCTTTCTTTGTACAGCAAGTCCTTAAATAATGTCATTTCATTCAATGTCTTTTTGTTGTTGTAACATTAAATGAGAAAAAACAGACTGGCTGACATTGGATGAAACCACAGTATTTGAGAACTGCTTTCATTAACCATGGTTTTGTTTACAGTGACAGTTTCCAAGAACCTATTGACAAAGCCAAGTGAGGTCTTGCTGTTCCATACAGATGATTAACAGGTACTTTTTAAACTCATTTTCCCCACACCCTTGTTATGAATTTTTTCTTCTGGAGCTAAGAGCTATGTTAATGATTACACATGGCTCTCTCTGTGTGTGTGCGTGCGTGCGTGCACGCGCGTGCTCATGTGTGCATGCGTGTGTGTGTGTGTGTGTGTGTTTGCCAGAACTGTTCTTCCATCCCCTCCTCCTTTTTCCAGAAAAATTTAAAATATACAATATGCCAAAATTAAATAGCAAACACCCCCAACTCCCAGCTCCCAGGATTCACAGTGTTAAAATTTTGTCACGTTTGCTTCAGATTTTCTTTTTATAAAGGAAGTGAAGTACTGAAGCCGCAGCCTGTGTATTGCCCTGCTCCTGCCACCCCCTTCAGGCCTGGATTCACTTCACACACATGCCCCTGCCCATAGAGCCCTGGGGGAACTGCTGATATGGATTTGGGGTCCTCCCATCGAATCCTTTTTGTGTTTTTGCACGCACACACACACGTATTTTACTTTGAATTGTTCATTATATGAATATACCATATTTTCTAATTCCTTATTGATGGATGTTATGTTCTGAATGTTTGTGTCTTCCCCAAATTTACATGTTGAAACTTAATGCCCAATGTGATAGTATGAGGAGGTGGGTCCCTGGGAGGCGATTAGTCATATGGATGAGACCCTCATGAATGGGATCAGTGCCCTTCCAAAAGAGCCCCCACTGAACTCCCTCTCAGCTGCTGCTACGTGAGGACACTGAGAAGACAGCTATCAGACAGCAAATCTGCTGAGGACACAATCTTGGATTTCCTAACCTCCAGAACTATGAGAAACATGTATTTGCTATTTATAGACCATCACCTTAAGGCGTTTTTGTTATAGCAGCCCAGCTAAATGAAACAGTGGGTATTTGGATTTGGATTTGGATTGTTTCCAGTTTTTCCGCTGCTATGTACAATTCTTTCAAACATCTCTTTGTGCTCATAAGGGACAGTTTCTCTAGCGAATATAACAAGAAGTAGAAATGGTTACAGGTAATATGAATTTGAGGTTCTGCTTTATATTGATTGCCGAATGGTTCTTGAAGAAGCTGAGCTGTTTCTACGGAGGACAGCTATTTTCAAAACTCACATCTTTGCCATGTGTCCAAGCACAGAAATGTTTTGCCATTCACCTTTAGAGAATCTTTTTTTAAGATTTATTTTTATTTATTTATGCATACAAGAATTGGGGGATAGGCCAGAGGTGTGGGGTGGGGGTGGGGGCTGGTGAGAGGATTCACCAGAGACAGAGTGGGAAGCAGAACAAGCAGAGTGACTGAAATACACTGCTGAGGGAAGCAGCGAGCAAGACTAGAGAGGTCTGCTGCACCATGTGGGTAACTCCCTTGCTGGCTGGGGATCAAATGCATGCTGCAGTGGCTGCTGATAGCACTGTTTTTAACCCCTGCACCACTAGGGAGGCCCGTTACTCTATATTTATGAAAGAGCCAGAATAGCACCTATTTTCCTTAACTGAAGGAAATCTGAGGATGACTTTTGCTTTAACGATAAAAATCTAAAAGCAAAGCTAGTGTGCAGTATTTGTTTTGCAATAACCAGGTTAGAGGGAGCAGCACTGCCAAGCTCCTGCCTCTGCTATGTGTGTATCAGCTCATTCCCCCTATTTTAGCTTTTGGGTGATTTGGGGTTCTGGGAATGCTCAAAATGTCCATAAGCATTAGTAATAATTAGTAATTATTACTAATTGCTACTTTGCTTTACACCATTTAGGCTTAAGAAAGGTTAATAGAAATACATTCTAATATGGGGGATCTTGTGTAGGGTTTGGTACTATGTGGTCTTAGGCATTCACTGGGGGTCTTGGAGTGTACCCCTGTGGATCAAGATGGGGCTGCCACCTCTTTCTTACAGATACCTTTAATCACTCACCAAGTATGCATTCAGGGCCAGATCCAAGTGCAGAGAGTGATGTTGTCAGTGCCTGCAGTCATGCTCCATGTTTTTAAATGCTTTTTGTGTCCAGGAATAGTTTTAAGCATCTCTTATGGGTGATGTTGTTTAACTCTCAAAACTACCCAGTGAAGCAGGTGCTCATATTACCCCCTTTAAACAGACTAGGAAAAAGGAACCCTCAGAATCCAAACAGATTGATGCAAGCTAGCACATGTTGGAGCCAGAATTTAAAACCCATTGAGCACACACGTATGTTGCATGTGTGCTTCCCAGCAAGCTGGTAGAGGCTGCTTACAATAAGGAGGCAAATGTATGGGCTGACCCCATAAAGAATTTTGGGGTGTTTGAGCAGGAGGTGGCTAGGGAGCAGCAGCCTTATAGGAGAGATGTAGTAATGAGATCTCAGACCCCCTCCTAGGAGCACCCCAAGGTTCACACCCCGAGCCTCCTAGGCAATGAGCAGATTCCCATCAGGACACCCCTACCCCACTCTACCCTGGTCTGTGGAGCCCAAGCTAGGCCAGAGACACAGGTAAGTGGTCAGGGGCCATCCTGAGCACTGCTGGGTCGGGTCATTCAGATTGTCTGCTGGTCCTGTCCCCATAAAGGCACTGGGGCAGCCTCTATAGGAGAAGGTGTTATCACCTGGTAGAAAAACCTGGCCTACCAGAAACTGAAAGGCAACCAGAAGAGCGTGCTCTGCTTTGTGCCCTAATGAATCTTTCCTCTAGGTAGTCAGAACAGCTGTCAGAGTGAGCAGACCGTTAGGATAAGCCTTATGAAATTGCCACAGAATCAGGTCAAAAACAGAATACTGGAAATTTCATTTGCTCATTGTAATCAACCCAGCCGGCAGCAGGCATGGGCAGGTCAAGACAGTGGTCAGGTAAGTTCAGGGTGCATCCAGCTCAGGGAGGGAGACACACTGGTTCAGGGTGGAGGGCAGGGCACTCGTGCGTGCAATGCCTCCAGATAGCCCTTTAAACCTAAAGGAAGGAATATGCTGTCGCTGCAGCATTTCCCTGGGCAGGAGCGGAGGGGAGGGAGCATCCTATAAAGATCATTCTGATCATTCCTATAAAGATGTTCTGAGCTGGCATGACTGAGGAGTAAGGGGAAGCTGATACACAGAGATGGCCAGGCTGGCGCTGTCAGCTGAGCACATGGGTACACAGGGGCTGGGTGAGCAGGGTAGCCTTCTTGGGGTAGGTGGACCTTGAACTAAACCTTCAAGGAGCAGTAGGAATGAAAACAGGTGCAGAGAAGAGGGGTAGGTGAGGTGCAGAGAAATCTAAAATTCTATGGGTATTTGAAAATAAAGGCTCAAAATAATACCGAAACTATGATTTTTTTTTTTTTGCTAAGACATACGCACAAGACATTTACATAAATTCATAGAATGATCTCTAGAAGAATATTTAATAAAATGTTAACTATGTTGTCATTATGGGGGGGATCATTTTTTCTTTTCCACTTACCTGTATTTTCTAATTGTTCTGCAGTAAGCACTGTATTGCTCGTGCCACATCTTTTTAAAGGGTATGGAATATATCTGCCCTAAGTCATATCAAGGTATAAACGCACCATGTAGGAAGCTACTACCTGACTGTGAGTTACACTTATTCCAAGCTATTGCTGAAATAGCGACCTCTGTTAGATTTCTACAGCTACTAGAATATATTGCAGAATGGTTTAGAGTGTTTACTCTAGAGATTTGATTCTGTCTCCACAACTTGCTAGCTAGTAAAATGGAATAATGACAGTGCCTACCCTCTAGGTTCTCTATGAGTTCTCGGTGAATGTTAGCAATTATTATTGGCCTCTCTCTCTCTCTCTCTCTCTCTCTCTCTCACACACACACACACACACACACACACATACACACACACACAGAATCTTGTCTGAATACTGCTCTCAACCATACACATGAAGCTGTCATGGACCTACCACGGCCTCTCAAACTTTAACAAGCATACATTTGACCTGGGCATCTTGTTAAAATACAGCCTCTAACTCAGGAGGACTGGGCTGGAGTCTGAAATTCTGCATTTCTGATGCACTCCAGGTTATGTCATGCTGCTGGTCCGTGGACTTACTTTGAGGGGTGAGGATAAGGATGACTGACATTCGGGAACAAAATCCCTTCAATGAGCTCAGGTATTACCTGTCACATGGGTTCCCTTCTCTTTTAGGCAGTAGAATTTCATCCTATTCATCAGAATTTATAAAACCTATGTATGTGTGTGAGCCCCTGTGCTAGATTCTGGGAAATCAAGGTATCTGTTATAAGACAGGGCCCCTGCCCTTAGGGCCTTATATCAACACCTAAACATAAAAATGTAGGCATCTATAAAAAAAAAGTCTGTCCTAGCTACTAAATGAGGGCCACAGACAATGAGTGAGATCAAGACTCCAGGGTCTATTTGAAATTCTGTAGGGAACTAAAGTCCAAATACTTACTTTGAAATGTTGAGGATTAACACATGCTCCTGATGCAGGATTGTATTAATAAGTCTTAACTTTAAATGTGTGAGTCGTGTCTCTCTATATAAATATGTTTTCCCATCCCATGGGAGACGTGATGCTGTGTGCACTGTTTTCGTAGTTGCAAGTCTTCCTCATTCCTCATGAGTGGGGAAACCATGGGCTGAGCATGGAAGTCATCTGGAGCATAAACACACAGGCCTGTGGCCACACTGCAGCATTGTGTCCATTGTTTAAGGAACATGTTTGTCTCATTTGGCTGCATTTTGTGGGACTTTCAGCTCCTGCTTTATTACATTTGAAGAATATTATTTGCTATGGAAACAGTGATGTCAAATTAATGTGGGTGAGGCCCAGGGCCGTGAATAAACACAAAATAATCCCTCACACAGTGTGCAAGTTATTTTTAGACTAAGGACTTGCCAGTTTGGGCAGGTCACCCTCCCAAGCTCTGTTTTAGATGGAGCTATCTGGCCAGCTAGGGGGTGGCTCACTGGGGAGAAAGTGCCCATTTTAAGTAGCATGAATGTCGTGGACTAGATCAGTTGGCTTAGTCAAAACAGGAGTAATAGGGAAGAGAGGGGTCATCTAATGGACACTCTAAAATAGTGACCAAATGTTGGGATATTTTGTCTGGTTACCGTCCTAGGAAAAGAATTCTTTGGAGATAAGGAGTTTCTATTAGGTGAGGATACTGAAACGGGAACTCCTAGAAAATGAAGATCTTTGGAGATCCTTGGAATTGAGCAGAGCTGAAGTTGGGGGAAACTGCTATAAAAGTGGGGGGTATAAAAAAAGTGGGGGGTGTAAGAGAGAAGCTTAAGGAGATACAAACAGAACTGTGCAATAATACCAGTGTTTTTTTTTTTTTTTTATCAGTTGCTAGTGATGTTGTAGTCACTGTATTCTTTGATTCTCCCTAGAAACCTTAGGACCTGAACAGCAGTGTTACTGCCATCTCACAGAAATATTAATAGAAGCTGAGATTTGAGGGCCAGTGCCACCTTATATGCAACTGACTCCAGACCTGTGCTGAGTTCCAAGCTGAGCCACACAGCAACGTGAAGAAGCTAGAACTGTTAACTCATCTTGACAGGTAAAGGAGACAGAGGCTGGATTCAGTAATCCTTTGGCTGCAGAAGGCTGCTCTTAACCATGTAGCACCCACCACCGGAACACCCATCGTCCACCACCGTAGTCTATTTGCGTTCTCCCCATTTTTTCTGAAGGGGAGATCCTATACATCTAAAACATAAACAATGTAAACTAATGTTACTGCAAAAAGAAAAAAAAAAAAAGGTCTGTTCTTAACCTCTATGCTCTTCTGCATGCAGGCCAGAGACCTGGTGACTGCACGTGAACATAAGGGCCACCCGGCACCAAGGCCGTGACCAGGCCTGCGCGCTGGCTCACCAGAACAGCTTTCAACAAGGCTGAGGGTGGGCTGATACCAGAAGAGCCCTCAGCTGGATGTACACATACTTAGGCTCACATCCTTCTCTATGACCGTAGACTTCTTCTCAGCATCCAGAACCTTCCTTCTGCCCTGTGGCCTCCCAGTGGGGTTGGCCACTGTATCATTCACCTATGCATATGCTCCGCTATGTTTCACTGAGTACTTTCCTCATGCTGAACACTGGGCCTTGGTGGTGGGAGGAAGGGGGGCAGAAAGGCCATTTCACCCGCGTCTCAGCTTAAGGGTGAACTTTGGCAAAGATGAGGCTACATCACCAATGCTGATTTCTCTGTTAAACAGGATCCTCTAATTCTTTCCATAGGAACTGAAAAACTCAAAGAAGAAAATGAAACAAGAAGCTCCTAGCAAACCCTGTAAATGGAAACCTGTGTAGAAGCTCCTGGAAAACCAATATTCCAGTTCTAATGACATCCAGATCTGAGAGGGAAAGGGGTTCAGGCCCAACAGATGGGGGGCAGAGTCTTTACAGTTTGTTCAACCCAGTATGAATGATGGGCATCGGAAAGGAACTTTGCGGACGCTGAAGTGATATATGAATATGGGTTGCTGTCTTTATTACTTAAAATACATGTCCTAGAAAAATGTCCAAGAAAAGAAGCTCAGGAAAGGAAGCAGATAAAAGTGAAATTGAAATCATTTGAGTTGTTCAGGAACCCCAAACCATGCAGTGCCTTAATTTATCACTCTGGTCACAGGTTGCTAGTTTGATTTTTAGATTTCCTCTAGAGTTATTTTCTTTCTGGAAACCATATTCATCTAGCTGTCCATATTGTCTGTCTAAACCATATTGTCTAACTGTCCCCTGCCACCTCCTTGCTTCTCCATTCCCAGCAGGGGGTGTTCCCACCAAAATTGCAGGGTGGGGGGGTGCCATTCATACCAAAGTCAATGTGAGGCTGACCTTTGGTTCTTACACCTGTGCTGTACCTTGGAATCACTTGGAGGACTTCAACATTACTGATGCCCTGGTCCCATCTCCAGAGAGTCTGAATTAATTGGTCTTGACATGAAGATTTTTTAAGCTGCCCAGGTGATTCTAATATGCAACCATGTTTGAGAACCACTAAGTTAGACTGAGCTGGGAATGGTGCCCACTGGGGATGGTCAACATCAGCTGCCCTGCACACTCCCACGCATGACAATGACCTGAACTTGCTAGTAGGAAAGATCACAGATTCCATTCCTACTTCTCTGCCGTTTGAATCCTGTGTTCCCCCAGGTTGGAGTTGGGGCTGAGGAGAGTGTTGGTACTGGCTCCTGAGCCGTTGAGGGATCTCTTCAACTCCCTGCATCTTTCTGGGAGTTGAGGGAGAGGCAGAGGTCTAATCCTGCTGAAAAGTAGGAATTTTTCAAGCCCAGTTTTGGAGGCTGCCCAACTCTGGTGCTCTGCCCAGGGTCAGCATACTGTTTTGATCGCCCGACTGAGGGAGTGATTTAGGCCTGTGGAAGAATCTGGCTGGTTTCCCCTGGTGCCTAGGTCATTCCCTGGTTATAAATCAGCCACCCTTCCCAGCTGCGTGTTACTCTCTTGGGCCGCCCCTGCGAGGAAACTATGTAATTTTTACTGAATTAGCAACTTAATTGCACTAAATATAGCTCTAATGCCCCCAAAGAAGTTATAACAGCTCCCTAAGGTGTCTGGCTCCTCGTACTTCAACCACCACCACCCCCAACTCAGGGAGCAAATTAAACTCTGAACAATTCAATTCAAGCTTACTAAATTGCAGCTTCTGGAATGGACTTACTTTGTTTTGCATGTGTTGATATCATCAAATCCTGGCATTATTAATTTAATGTCACCATTTCCTCAATTAATGTCCTTCAAATGGGAAGATGCTGGGCAACTCTCACAAAACCCCAGAGAAATGACAGAAATCTGTGCACACACTGGGCCTTGGGGCTCTGGTTCAGCCAAAAGCTTACCTATTTTACAACTCAGATGCCCTGTAACCCGCAGATGCCCCCTGCTGAGGGTACAGCTGTCATTCTAAAATTATAAGTCAAGCTTCCTTGGCAGCAACACTGCATCTGGCTTGTGTATTTATATTTGACATTTCAAAGTTAATGGTTTTGGTTAGGCAGAGGATTTAAAACAAACATTTTATGAAAAATTCCAAATTCTTGAGCAGATATTAGAATCTAGACTGAAGTGAGAGAGAAAACCAAGTATGGAAAATGTTGTCGATTGCCTACCCAATACCTATTCTACTCTTTTCCTTTTGTAATAGAAAACAGTGACATTTCCTGGCTTCCTTTGCAGTTTGGCTTAGTCATGTAATCCTTTTGAGGTGGAAGTGGAATAAAACATGAAATTTCCAGGACGGTTTTCTTTCAAAGAGTTGAGTCAGGTGTCAGGTGTGAGGTGTGTCCTTTTTTCTTTTTCCTCCTTCCTTCCTCCTAGAATGTAGACATCATGCTGGAGCTTCAGCAGCCATCTTAGACCATGAGGTGACTTGAAGAGGAAAGACACGTGCTGCCTGAAGATGGCGGAAGGATAGATGCCTGTGCCTGTGATGACAGAGGAAGCAGCCCTGTTCTCCTGCCTCTGAAATCTTAATATGTGAGAGTGAAATAAACTTAGCTTAAGTTACAGTTATTGGGGGGTGGGGGGGAGGTTATGTGAAAATGGTCTCATCCTTGATGATAGATTATGGTAGCATAAAATCATAGAAATGTTATTTCTTAAATTATGTCTGCCCACTTTTGCCCCCTAATCGTCCATCTGTAGGAGTGATTTGTATTGTTTGAAAAGATGTAAATAACTATTTCTTGTGCTTAGCAAGGTCAAGCAACTTTCCTAAAGTCACCCAGTGGCAGAGCCAATATTCTAATTCAGTTTCTGCTTTTACTTGGACCTGCTTTCCTTGTCAGGGAGCACAAGTTAATAACTACAGCTCTGCAGAGTTTGTGGTTTTTCATCGACAATATTAACATGTTTAATCCTCAGCAGTCTGTGCAGTGGCCTGAGTCTGTTACAAATCCAAAGAGCCTGGAAGAGATTTGCTTCCACCAAAGATGTTGCCCCTTATGGAATCTGCCAGTCTTTTGTGAGTAAGACTTTTGTGTGTCTCTCCTTTTTCCGGCTCCCATCTCAGATGTCCCCAGTGAGTGGCAATAGATTCTGTGCTAGGAGGGAAGAGAGTGCTTGAGGTCCCACAGAAAGCTGCCTTTGCATAGAGGGTTTTAGTTACAGGGGGCTCCATTGGACAGGGTTTGTTTTGTTGGTCTCCTACCACTACACTTTAAGTCTAGCCAGTATTGTTGATGCTGTATTGATTAATACTGTATCGACTGATACTGTATTGTGTTGATACTCTATTGTATTGATAATGCAGCACAAGAGAGCAGCACCCAATGACTGGCATCACTAATCGGGAAAATGAGGTAAGTCGACCCATCTAAATTAAGAAGAGGGGAGAAGGAAGTCTTTTTGTTCATTTGAGTGTGAATAACAATGTAATTTGCTCAAGAGCACTTTAAGTCCTGCCCTGGAAATAACAATTAAGTGACAAAAAGTATGCTTCTCTCAAATAGAATATTCTGTTAGCCACAGCAGAGCTGGGAGGGCAATATAGGCCCAGAGTGAGGGAACCCCCCCACTACCACGGACCACAGAAGCTCTGAGGGTCCTTGTATACACATGCCCAGGGCCTGGCACCCTGGCTGCCAACAGGATGGGCTTCCCAAATGTTTCTTACTCAAAGAGTTGGTGGATTTCTGAGTGCTTATAGTGCTGACTCTGAAGAGCAATGTTTTTCAGCATCCTAATTAAGACACTGGTTGACATAAAAATGGAACCCAATCTAAAAAATACAAAGAAATAGTTATGTAATCCACATCAAGTTGGGGACCTTGTTGGGGACTGGAGTTAGCGCATTTGTCACACTTCAAGGAAACAGAATTAGGTTCCATTGCATATAACAAAAAAAGTCAAAATAATAGTGGTCTAAGCAAGGTTTAAAATTTTATTTTTCACTCACGTAAAAGAAGTCTAGAATAGACAATCAGGTGGCATAACAGTTATTGGGGCCCAACATTTTTCTATCTTTCTGCTCTACCTTTGAAACAAGTAGCTTTCATCTTTAAGGTCACCTTGGGTTGAAAGTGACTGCTGGGGCTTCTGCAGTAATATAGCAAGTTGTACTCTTCAAAAAATGAGGAAAAGCAGAAAGTCAGAAAGGGATTTCCACTAGCTATCTGTTCTTCATGTAGTCTTTCCAAAAACTCCTGCTTATATCTGATTAACCAGAACAATCACATGGCCAAACTTAGTGCAAAGGAAATTGGGAAGCATAGTCTTTTAACCTGACGTATTGCTACCTTCACCTCCCTTCCAATAACAGACTGGCAGTTTTCAACCTTTTGGATTTTGAAAAACCTTTTCACCCTTAAAATTATTGAAGAACCCAAAAAGCACTTGTTTATGTTAGTAATGTCTATTAGTATTTACCATATCAAAAATTGTTTAGTCATTTAAAAATGATAATAATTATAGCACATCATCACTTGGTATACTTTAAATATCTTACAATTTTACTTGTCAATTATACCTCAAATATTTGGGAAAAAATAAAACAGTCTAAGACCATTAAAAATTAAAAATTGTAATGATATTACTAATAATACAAACTAGCAACTTGTCATTTAAGTGTTTTGCTTTGTCCTTAAAATTTTATGCATCATTGAAACGTTATCATTATAAACCTGTTACATGTTAATGTATATTTTCAAAGCAAAAAAACACACAAAGTGAGAATGGTGTTGTTTTCCATTTTTGCTAATTGTCGGCAAAAGTAAGTCAGATTATCATATCTCCTTCTGCATTTAATCTGTTCTTATGTATTGTTTTGGTTGAATTATTAGAGAATCTGGTCTCACACAGATACATATTTGGAAAATATAGAAAATTTTTTAAAGCTTTTCAGATAATTGTAGATATTGTTCTTTGATACTACACCAAAACTCACATCATAGTTTCTAAAACTCTAATTAGAATGTGGGATCTGAAGTCATCTTCATGAATATTTTGTGTTCTCTCAAAGTTCATAGTCCATATGGTCTGTCTTGTATATTGAGTACATAGTTCACCCTCATACAATTTTGTAATAACCTGTAGTGGTTGTGTGGAAAACATTCATTCACTGAGTTATGCAAATCCTCAAATATAGACACATTTCATACAAAATATTTTTTGACACATTTTTAATAGTACTTCTGATCTCAAAAAAAAAAGTCTGCTTTGGGGGAAGTTGTCAAGCTCATGATGACAAGTACAAGTTTTCAAAAATTCTAATTTTTACTGGAAAGATTGGCTGTTATCACTGGTAATAAATACTATCAACTGCTTCCCTTAAGGAGACCTTCTCACTTTGTTCTATGTTGAGAGTTCATGTGCAGTGTAGCTACATCTGAATAACCATGGCGCCTCCTGTTCCAGGCCTTTGAGGACATGGAATCAGCTGGAAAGTCGCAGTGGCACTTGAACACGGACCAGACAGGTGACCCACAAGGTGAGCACAAAGGGCCTGCAAAAGGCTTGAAGAAGCACAGACCCACTCTTGCCT